AAGCATACAGGAAGGTAAGCCCATCAAATTTTTTTTATTTACAATAAAGAAGAAGTCAAAATGAGTGACACCAAGGACTCAGGGAACAGGAGGAGGAAGGCAAGTGTCAACAAACATGGAGGAAAGAAGAACACCAAAATATGTGGTGAATGTGGATTAACAGTCAAGGATAGCGACAAAGCAGCTAGCTGTGATGTTTGTGAAGTGTGGTTCCACATCGAATGTGAAAAATTACCAGAAGAGGTATATAACTTCATGCAAGATGAGGAGGCAGAAGGAGTGTTGGTGTGGTATTGTAGTTACTGCAAGAAGGGTTGTGCTAAACTGCACAAGTACATAAAAAGAATTGAACAACAACAGGTGGAACTAATGACCAGGCAAAATGAATTGAAAGGCAAAGTAAATCAACTGAGAAAATTTACAGCACAGGAACACGATAAGAATAAGGAGATAGAAGTCAGGGCGGGTATATTGGAGGCAAAGTCTGTTGAAATAAATGATGTGTTGGAAACAAATGCTAAGAATGACAGGGGTTTTGAAAACAGACTGGGAACCTTGGAGGCTAGAACAGTGGGTTTAGAAGGGAAAGTAGATTCTAGCAGGACAACAGGTAGTGCCACTGAAGTGAAGCAGGAAGACAACACAGGGAAACCAGAGCCTGTTGGTGAACTTATAAAGGAACTAAATGAGAGAAAACAACATAGTGGTATATGGTGCACCAGAATCTGGATCCCCAACAATGAGCGTGTGGGGTACGTTATGTTCGGGTTCACACTCAGGATGGGTTGGAGAAAGGAAACTCACAATGTGCTCTCTGTATACATATTGTATTGGATGTACAATGCAGCTTGGTGCTGGGAAGGCACCTAATAAAAGAATGTGGCATCACTAGTGGCCAGGAGATAATAGTTAAAGTGATTAGGCTGGGTAAATTTATCCAGGGAAAAGCTAGACCTATGCTAATCAAGTTATCTACTGCAGATATAAAGGCCAACCTATTTAGAAACATCAGGAACCTGCAAGGTAACATGAAATTCCAAGACATAAGAATAGCCAATGACTTAACTAAAAGGGAGAGAGAACATGAAGCTGTCTTATGGCAGGAGGCAAAAAACTTAATGGACTCCAGGAAAGGGAGACACAGAGTGGTGGGTCCTCCGTGGAGGCGAAGAGTCGTCAAAATAGGGGTCCAAGAGAAGTAGTGAGGCCCAAAGAGGAGAAACATGTACATACCAGTAGTGTAAATAGTGTAAGGAAACTGATTAAAAATAGGAAAAACAAGAACACAATTTTAATGTCGGTAAATTTCTTATTATGTTTAGTAATGTTGATGTGTTGAGTTCAGACAAGTTAATAGAGTTAAATGCACAGTTGAAGGAGATGGAAAATACTCCGCAAGTAATAGCCCCACAGGAGGTAAAGCCAAAACTCTACAGATATGAACGGATTACAGCAGAATATAACCTAGAAGGATATGACATTATAGAACAAAATCTCTCTAATAAGGAAGGGAGAGGTATGTTAATATATATTAGGAAAGGAACCAAATTTTACAGTGTTGAACTTGATTCTAAGTTTTGTGAATATTGCTGTATAGAAGTGCCATGTAGTAGTGGTAATTTACTATTTACCTCCATTTACAGAAGCCCTAATAGTGATGAAAGCAATGATACTAATTTGCTCCAACTTATGCAGGAAGTCAATGATGATATAATGGGAGTATGACTGACTTATGAGTGATAATTAATATAAAAGTGTGTCACAACACCGATTGATTAGCGTTTGTTGGAAAAAATAAGATATAATCATGACCATATTTTACTAGTTATGCTCGTATAGGCAACCTTTTCTTGGGATGTTAGCTCTTTCTGGAGGTAGGGTACTGGTAAGCTACTGAACAAGGTTACTGTATATGTATACAGTTCATCTCACCCAACTTACCTCAATCCATTTCAGCTTGATGTTGCCCATTTGTACAAAGATTTTTTTTTGCTATTTTTAAGCACTAGTAAATCAATTGTGGGTGATTAAAAAAAAAGAGAATTAACAATTTACCATCCAGTTAGTAGACAATATCCACTAACCCCTTCACTTTGGGGACACCACTTTAACTATTTTGTTTAGCTAATGCCAAACAATTTTATTCAGCTCAGAGGGGGATCATTACACAAGGGGATAAAGAAAGACTATCGACTTTAAATGTGCATCTAAGAAAAATGTGGATGGGCCAGATAAATAGCCAAAATACAGCTCTTGCACAATAACCCCTTAAATAAACTTACTGTACTACAGTACTGTATATATATATATATATATATATATATATATATATATATATATATATATATATATATATATATATATATATATATATATATATATATATATATAACAGGTAAAAAAGGAATTATTCTCACTTGACTTGGGGTTTATTAGATGGATGGTAATGTAGTGGAAGCGCCCCTTGGAGAAAAAACCCGAACCAGCACAAACACACTTAAATTACTAGAAAAAAATTAATTCTCCGTGACCCGTGGAAGGGTAGCACCTGTGATTGGGATGAATGAGACACACTGTAAAATTTAGACACTTCTATTCCCTCCAACACTACAGACACAATCAATAATGGTACACCAATATGCGCACCTCTTAACCTGGCTTAAAACACTACTCTGGGGAATAAAAGTTATACATGATATTGAAATTATTAAAAACTTAGAAAATGGCTCTTTACAAAAACAATAAATTCAAAGTACAGTATTAAGAAATGTTGCTTGCACACATGAACAGGCCTTAAGGGCTTTTAACAAAATAATATCAATCACTGAGAAAATGGTATAGGAAATAAGAAATTAACTCCACTATACTGCCAGATTCTGGGGTCACTAATTCTAAGGGGATAACTTACTTTTACAGGGGTATTCTTAATTTTAAGGTCGCTGCCACCAGACGGTAGTGGGCAGAGTGAACTAGGCAGTGGGTTGGGTTTTTCATTGACCAAATCGATAAGGGAAAAAGGGTGAAACAAAAACATGTCTTAACTAATTTATTCCTTATAAAACATATTGCATTCCGTCAAAATACAAGAAGAGTTGGCCTTCCTCAGAAAAACAACTATGATTTTAGTTACACTGCTCAACAACAGACGTCTTACATTAATTGTGTGTCGCCTACATACGCATTACTCATAACAATCAGTGACCTCCTTACCTCGGTCATCCCTTCTTACAACAACACCCAACACAAGCTGAATGTTCATAGCGTGAGTATATCCACTTCACGTAAAACTGTAATTAGGGATCCTCCTCTCACACATTACACTACTTGAACACAGACATAAGATTCTCTGATCACTGTACATGTCGTGGGTATATGTCACGTGAGGATACGAGGTGTATTAAGTTCACACCGATGCATACAAGATATTTCCTTTCAAGCATAGTTTCTGGGTCACTTCCAACACCTTACATATTTCTGATACATTTATCCATTTTCCAGATCATTATTCTCATGTATTTTCATCTGATATCTGCGGAAGTTGTGTTCACTAAACGTTCACAGACGTAAATAGTATGACCTTCAAACCACGATCTACACTTTGCCCGGATAGTACACTAGCCCGGATCAATTGGACTCTCACAACCATCCTCTAGATACCTTGAGTTCTCCTTAATGCTATGAGTACATACAATTAATATTATATACCCGTAGTTGGGTACATTTCATCAAATAATTCCGTAACATTCATTAGGTGAGTTATTCTTTATCAATGTTTCCCGTTTTCTGAGATTCTACAAGAGCGGTGGATTTGAATGTTATGTAGCGTAATGTATTAATTAAAGTTTTTGTTTTAGGAATGACAATGATGTGCGCAGTACAGCTAGGACACTTCCCGAATTCCGTGCCCTTCCAGTTTAATTTTCAGCCTTTCATGGGGTACATTGTCGAAAGCAGTTGTATTAAGTAAAACAACAGTTTTACGGACGACAATATTACCAATAAAGAATTATATTTTACTTTTTACTTTTATCCTCTTCACTACTGATCGGCTCGTTAGTCGCTTGGGCGATCGGTCACGTCTCTGTCACGCACTGTTGGCAAGTACTGGTCATGTACTGGCTCTCTGTGACGCACTGTTGGCAGATACTGGGCATTCTGTAGGTAGTAGGCAGCTACCAAACAGGGAGGTACTACCGCCTGGGAAGATATTGGAAGCATAATGTGTTGTCTAATGGTAGACCCTGCTGCTATATGGCATCCCAGGTTGCTGAACTGACTTTCTGCCTCATTTACGCACATTTGCAGGGTCTCAATTGTTTCACTTAATATTGACAACACAACATACAGTATATTGTTTCTCAAATTTGATCTCTTTTTTTTTATTTCTTTATTATTATTATTATTATTATTATTATTATTATTATTATTATTATTATTATTATTATTACTATTATTTTATTTTCATTTTTTATTATAAATTTCATTTACTATGAATAATAATAATTATTATTATTGTTATTATTATTATTATTATTATTACATTTTCGCCCCCCAGGCCCCGATGTGGGTCAGTGACCTGTGCCTGGGTGGGCTGATCCCCGTAAAAAAAATGCACCGGCTCCTGAATGTACCTGAACCTGCTCCAGTGTTGTTCAAGTAATACTTTAGATACAATAAAAAGTAATATATATATATATATATATATATATATATATATATATATATATATATATATATATATATATATATATATATATATATATATATATATATATATATATATATATATACAAAATGGAAACTGATTTAGCTAATAAACTGGCATTATGATTTATGAAACCGTACTGAAATGGCCTCGATGTTACATAATAAATTTATGTTTATCTAAAGATTTATTTTTTCCAAATCTTATACAATACTTACGATAAGACATGTATAAGAAATTACTTTCTAGTTGACTACGCCCTGTTGAGTAAAAGTATTATGTTTTATACACAATATAACTGGTAGGTGGTAACCAGGCCTAGGACCAGGTGGTGTCCCTGGCTGTGTTGTGGTGCAGTAGACTCGGTGTGAAGTTGAAGATGATGATTTCCACACTATTCAAAAGGATAAGCTTAATAAACTTATTACCAAGACTCTTACAGCGAAACATCAGCTATGTGGAAAGAGTTCGTTTTCTTCAGGTGGGCTTAAAGTTACTATATGAAGACGTGAATAAATGTTTGTATAGATGTTGAGCTAACTTACCTGGTCAGCACTTGTTGGCAAAAAGTGGCCAAAATACTACACCACCACAGAGACAGGTTATAGGCTACACCACCTGCTAAACTGCTACTAGCAACACATACCTTAACCATTTCTCCAGGCTTCCGTTCTGATTAATTGAGGTTGAATACGTCATGGCCGGATAAATAACCACTATATGGCGTTGGTTGTGGTTATTTCTTCTATAACAGGCTTTGGTAATGATATAGGACTAACCCGCGAGCTAAATTGATTGAAAACAATTATAAAAACGCCGGATTTTCATTGTTATATTGTAGTGGACACTGTTGTAGTTTGTGGATATGTTAAAAAATGATGGATATTTTTAAATAAACGCGACTTAACATTTGTGGGTATGAAGAACAGATCTAACCAACCAAACCAAACAAACCTACCTAACCTTACCTAACTTCCCCTCTATATTAAACAAAGAACTTACTATGATATAGTGAAATTTGAAACATTTTCTGGACGTGAGATGATACGACTGCATCGACACTATGCAGCCGTGGCGGGTTAGTCCTATATATTAACCCAGACTCTTACTTGCTTCTGATATTTGTCTGGCATCATTCTGCTAGATTGAGGCTCATCCTAGGTTACCGAATTCAGTCACTTGCAAATCTAAACAGTAATTTATGAGGAAACCGGTCAATTTATAGTAGTCCACCATTCTTTCTTTGGGTATTAAGAATATGTGTAAAAAAAACATAGGAAATCACCAAAAAACAATCAAACCTAACCTAACCTAATCAGGGGTCCGTTCCTTCTTATTAGGTTAGGTTAGATAGAACGGTGCACTAATATAAAAAGAGCGAAACTGGCACCACCAGAAGTTGTTGTTCGATTTTATTTATTTTTTCCACAGAAGTTCCTTGGATGGTAATACTGTTATTGATGACTTTCCTGCCGCTGATGTTTCATAGAAAACGAATTTAAAGACGCTGCAGTTTCACTGCTTTATAGTGGGCACTTGTAGTTATGTCATATGTATTAGAAACCGTTTATTTAAAAGTTAAACTTAACCTAACTTAACCTTACCTAACATAACCCCCCAAAAATTATCATATCAAAACTCACTGATGAAAATATAGTAAGAATATAAACATAAAAAATAAATGTTGGTGGGGTAGTCGTTGGTATTAGCCATAATAAAAGTGATACGACAACTTTTCATTTTAATTATGAGGATTTTTTTTTCTATCTATGATCATAAATCACCTACAGTATAGTGGGCAGGGTATGAAGGATGATGTAAATTGCAGGGTAAAACACAATGAAAAACTGATCATGTGACACTAAAATAATTTCTCTACGGGTACGTGCTTTGTACATGAAGAAATTGATTATTTACCGTAAATATTCCCCCAAAAATCTGCCGTCGTCACTGTGTGTTATCGTCTGCACTGTTTATTTACAACTGACCCGTTCGGTCTGAGCATACTTTCACATCCACAAGAAATGTAAAATTACGCCGTGACCCTTCAACAAAGTTGCTTTCATTGGTACTAGATATAAAAAATACTTGGTTTAATATGGCTAGGAAGTTAGTTAAGGTTAGGTAGGTTTCTTTTGTTGGTTAGGTCAGGTTCTATCAGATTCTAGTAATTGTCACCTCTTTTTAAGTACTGTACCTACTATAATGATAAAAACATATGGACCCCGTGAAAAGCAAAATCTGCAAGTTTTTCATGCCAGTCCCAGGAGTATGCAAAATACATATTTAAATGACTATATGCACATGTATAACAATACTATGTATGCATAAGACAATATAATAAATATGAAATAACATAAATAAATAAACATACCGTTAAACATGAAATGACACTGTATGAACATTAGGTCCACACAGTGATAGTTGTGGTAGTGACAATGCAAAGACAATACAGTGATCCCTTGGTTAACGAACGCCTCGGTTAACGAAATTTCGGTTTACGAATTACCTTCCATAAGAATATTCAATTCGGTTAATGAATTCCTTATGAATTTTTCCCAGCATGTTTTCGCCTGCTCACCAGCTGTAGTATTAGTCCGCCAATACAGTAATCGGTTTTAGGGCTTAAATTCGTTACCATTTGAGTAAATATCAAGGAGGTTGTACCATTCAATAATTTTCCAACTCATACAGTATTAAAATTATTAGTCATTTTAACAATTATTTAACATAATTGAAGTACAAGGAACTAGTTTTTAGCGTGCCAAACAGCCACTTGACTCACCCAGAATGGCGTCAGTTTGTGTCACTGCTCAGTGGAGGAAGTATCTTGCTTGAGACTCTTGAACATAAACTATTATTACATTTTTACAGTACAATTATTGGTCATTCTGAAGTTTATTTTACATATTGACAATATATAATGCAGTGCAGTGTTGATTTAAAGAAAATAATCTTGAATTACACCAAGAGAGCTAAAATTTTATGGGTGAAATGGCGGCATGAAGCATGGGGTGACTTCTCTTCCACCCCAATGCCTTCTCTTCTCCTTTCTCCACCACCCCCATTCTAATTCCCATCATCATCATCAACCAGGAGCCTTCTACATGCACACCTCAAAGTAAGTGTACTTTACTGCATTTATTTTTAGTTTGTATGTAATTTTCAGTGAGCTGGAACCAATTACCCAAAATCCCATTGAAACAATGGTTTCCGTTAGCAAAATTTTCGGTTAACGAACGACCTTCTGGAACGAATTGTGTTCGTTAACCGAGGGACCACTTTACCTCTAAAACATAAGCTGATCTGGTGCACAGGATGTAAAGAATCCCTGTACAGTAATGGACAGTTCACTTCCAAAGGAACTTGCCCGGTACTGATGAGTATTTGTAATGTGTATACCGTAGGTACCTATACTTATAATTATATCCTTTTGTATTAAATTTGGTAAATTTTATTAATAATACCAAAATTTTTTTTATAATAATAGGTCCATAAAGTGATAGTGAGTTGTGGTAGTGAGAAACATGATAGCATATAGCCAGTGATTTGGCTTTGCCAGTACAGTAGGCTATTAAATCTGCAAATATTCTTCTTCCAAAATGTACCTTGCTAATTATAGGGTGTATCTTATGACCTGGGAAATATGGTGCTCTGTACTGTCCTGTAGTGTTGACTCCTCTTGATCCCTGGCACACAGCCTCAAATTTAATTTATTTATTTTCCATGGCATTTCATGAGTTTCCAAGGGACACAAGCTTTAAGGGAATACTGTAGTACAGTAAACCCTCGAAGATCCGGACCCAGGAAATCCGGGTTTTGGAAGATGCGGACAAAATTTTTGGGGGTTCTGGGTTAAGAAGTTTCCCTAAGAAGCATTCCCAAACCAGAGCAAAGAACATTTTAGGCCTGTGGGCGCTGCTTGACCCATCAATTGCTTGAACACAGGTGCCCAAGGAGGTGGGAAACATAAACAGAGTAGACAATTGTTGTTTGTGGGAATATTATTTCATTTGCTCTAGTAATGATACAGTGTTTCTTATGTTATCATAGGTAAATACATGGTTTATATACAGCAATTTGTTTATCACTACATTAGTGCTGTATTTTTGGTGTTTTTTATATCATTTATTATTCGCCGGAAAATCCGAACAATCTGCTTTTCCGGACAGGTGGTCTCCCGTTTTATTCCGGATCTTCGAGGGCTCGCTGCACTGTAATATCCATTGCTTCTCATTTCAATTTCAATAGTTTATTCCTTGATATAGGAACTGGGATCCTAGTGCTGTCACTAGGTACCCCTGTACAATAATACCAGAAGCATCTGGCAAGTGTCAAGTACGTGTGCAGTACGTATAAATATTACAAAGGGGCTTACTAAATCCTAAGGAAGGAAGGATACTCCTTCACATATCAGCAATATTATTTACATAAAATCTGGCCAGTATGGGGAGGATCATCGTGTCTGTCGGGGTCGTGGAGTGGTGGTCCAGCAGGCGTCACGGAAGCATTGTGTGTGGGGACATCTTAGGAGGTGGTGGACAAGGGTGCAGCTGCCGGGTCTTCTGCGTAATGCAGAAGCGTGTTGCTCAGGGGAGGCGGGGCATTGCTTCTCGCATGGTATCTTCATGTTTATGTTGCAAGTTGTATCAAAGTCAGCCCTCCAATATCCTCAAAACACAGTCACTCGCAGCTACATGCCAGCCCCACACTCTTGGCTTCCACCAGCCTGTGTGTCTTTGTTAGCACAATGCCTGGCAGAAATTCTGCTGCAATTTGGCCTTGTTTACAAGCCAAAGTTTCAGAGTTGCTATGGGGTTTCTTGACACCTGATAGTGAGACAATGGAAGAGAGAGGTTGAAGTGCATTATCAGCCATGGTATTGGCTCACTAATCCATTAATATCCACAATAAAAAAAAATTATGGTAGGAGACTGGAGTGGCTGGGTAGTGTGGGGCAGGACCATAGTGCAGCAGGGCGTGAGGTTGATGTTGTGTGCCCATTGACTGACGAGAGGATTGTATGCCCCGTTTGATGCAGCAACTTGAGTCCTCTTGTGACTCGGGTGTTATTTTTCAAAATTAAATTACAAAGGTTTTCAACATGATATAGGCAACTGGGCATAAATAAAGATATACTGTACAACTCATGGAGATTTGAACAGAAAATAAAAATGCAGTACGGTATCTCAAAAAAAGTATTGGTTTGCATTGTGTGAAACATTGAGACCACAGAGGATAGATATTGGGACATGCATTTACTTTGGTATACTGTACAGTATAGTTTAACATAAATACTGTCATGCAATATGTATTTATTTCAGCGTAATTAATGTGATGTTCAGTTACCAAATGTAGTAGGGTCAGTATGCCACAGCTGCACATACCAACCCTCCCTGGACATCATAAGTTGCATGTAGCATTTTGGAAGTCATCAGACTCATCCTGGCAGATACTTTTTTGAGATACAGTACTATACATACCACTATTTCAAACTGGCATTTCAGGCACTTATACCCTCTTGTATAGAGGAAGCCTCAATTCAATATGAAAAGTTATGTTTATGATTGTTTCTAAAAGCAGACTTTGTTTTTACAGCAATTAAAGGAGCAGGACACAGTTTGTTCGTCTCACATACCTGGTGGGAAGTTCCTGTTGTACAGCCAGAGTAAACCTCTCATACATGTAGACAAAGCCAACACTGAAGATGTTCTCCTTTGGTTAACTTATTCAGGTAATTTGTTTGTTTTTTCCTTTTGCTTATTGTATCTTTCCATCATTTTGTTTTATACCCTTGCCATAAACTACAGTATAGGGGGACCAACCTATAATTAAGACCATTCCATCCTATCGCCATCCATTTTTTTTTTATAGATTTTCATAGTTATAGGAAACCCTGAATTCATTCATTGTGCATAGTACAGTGACATATGGATGTGTACAAAGGTATTTCTACTTGTTACTGGGTACCGGTATTGAGAGTATTTTTGAGGTTTTGCATAGAGGTAGGCCAAGATGGCTTGGGCATGTGGTGTCAAGAGCTGCATGAGTTTGCATGTAGAATGTGAAGGAGAGATAGAATTAAGCAAAGAATTACATGGAGAGGTGAGAAATAACATCAGAGCTAAAATTCTGATGAGAGAGGCTGCAAGAAACCATACAGTATGGAGAGCTGCCATGAGGTAATCATGGCTAACCAATACAAGGTGTGGGAAAATGGCTGTAAAATGGTAATGTTGTTGCTTTAACACTTATGTTATTTTCTGCACTTTTTTTTTTGCATCAGTTTCCGATATTTTACCCATCTTAGAAATTTTTATATTCCTTGATCCACGTCACACAAAAATGAGAGAGGAGTGAAGGATAATAATATACTTTACTGTATACAGTGACCCCTCGTTTAACGAACACCTTGGTTAACGTAATTTCGATTAACGAACTGCCTTCCATAAGGATCTTCAATTCGGTTAACGAAAAAAAATTCGGTTATCGAAGTTCTTACGAACAGACCTCAACATGTTTTCGCTTGCACTGACCGGGCAACCAGCTTTAGTATCAGTCTGCCAATACATTAATCGGTTTTAGGGCTTAAATTCCTTACTATTTTAGTAAATATCAAGAAGTTTATACTATTCAATAATTTTAAAAGTTTAATATTCAATTTTTTAGTCATTTTAACAATTATTGAACATAATTGAAGGTAAAGTGACTAGTTTAATGTGCGGCATCCAGCCTCTTAACACAGCAAACAGGAGTTAGTCTCTCTCTGTTTTCACTGGAGGTAACATCTTGCTTGAGACTCTCTTCAACTAAATGCTTTTTTTCTGTGTTTCCAAGCAAATTATTGGTCATTTTGAAATATATTTTACATATTGACAATATATAATGCAGTGCAGTGTTGATTTAAAGAAAATAATCTTGAATTACACCAAGAGAGCTAAAATTTTATGGGTGAAATGGTGCCATGGGGTGACTTCTCTTCCACCCCAATGCCTTCTCTTCTTCCTTCTCCTCCACCCCCATTCTAAATCCCATCATCATCATCATCATCCAGGAGCCTTCTACATACACACCTCAAAGTAAGTGAACCTTTCTACCATTTTTGTTGAATTTAGGAAATTTTCGGTGAGCTGGAACCAATTACCCAAAAACCCATTGAAACAATGGTTTCGGTTAACGAACTTTTCGGTTAACGAACGACCTTCTGGAACGGATTGAGTTCGTTAACGGAGGGGTCACTGTATATAAATTGAAAGATTTGTCATAAAAACTTAAACAACTCAATACTTCCAGAGGTGACTGAGTATTATCCTCAAGTTCTCAGCTCCAGTGTGCTGGTGGATGTGAATGAGGACGGGACACCAAGGTACAGTGTGCAGGTAAAAGTTCTTGTACTTTGCTGATGTGTTCATGATGAGTAGCAGAAGATTAATGCATGTTTCTTTTGATTGAGGAAACAATAATTTTGTTTTGAAGATTTAGTCTTTTAAAGAATTAATAAATTGTTGTTATTGTTTTTCTTCATGAATCTCCACACCACACATTTCTGACCCAAAAATTCAAATTTACACTTGCTGCCAGTGGGCCAGAATGTCCGAGCATCACCTCATTTGGTCCCCAGTACAGTATTGTTGGTATCTCAAAAAAGTATCTGCCAAGATGGGCCCGATGACTTACGAAATGCTCCATGCAACTCATGGTCTCCTGGGGGGGTTGTTATGTGTGGTTCTGTGGTAACATTTGATAACCGAACATCATACTGTATTAATTATGCCCAAATAAATACACATTGCATTACTTGCGTTAAACTATATACCAAAATAAACGCCTGTCCCAATATTTATTATCCGTGGTTTCATAATGTTTCTCACACAGTGTGGACAGATACTTTTTTGAGATACACTACTGTAAACAAAATTAAATCATAATACTTTCCAACATTTTCCCACAGGTAGGAGCACTGCCAACAACAACACAAGATAAGCTGGAGAGTGCCACTGGTGCTGTTTTCACTGACTTACGCCTTGCACTCTTTATGGTCAGTTGGCGAGATGCACACACACTCTCACGAGCAAACAACGTTCTTATGTGGAATAAAAATAATGCTTTTTGTGGAAAGTGCGGTGCACCAACTGCGAGAAATGCGGCCGGTGAGTGAATTTAATCTGGGTGTTTTGCTACCAAGTGTTACTTAACCTTCCCTTCCCAAACTTATCCTAACTCTTCTGAAAATAAGGATTTGAGTGCTTTTTAGACTTTCCTTGGTCAAATTGCTTTACTGTTTACTATTGTTTTACACCATATATTGTACCTGCATTGTTTAAACACATGCTGAACTATGTGCCTGCCAAACCACTTGTAAACTTGTGGGATAAAATAAATTAATAAATATTATTATTATGTTTCAGGAATTCTATAGGATTAACTCACTGCTAGGTCTCTCAAGAGTATTAATGATGCCATTTAGTGTTAGGTCTGTACTACTGTATTTGTAGAGGATTCACCTTGTGAGTATACATGAATTTCATTCCCGACCAAAGTGCATGATTGAGTTCTTGTACACTTACTCTTGTGCACTTAATGGTGGAAAACCTTTTGGTGATTTAGCATCCTACCAAGGGGATGAGGCATCCCATTAGTTCCCTATTTAATGCTAAGAATCAGAAGATCATCTTTTGTTCTGCCACCATGCATCATAATTAGAAAGGCCTTGTATCCCCCAATATAAGTAGGCCCATTAATTGAAAATTTATTTTAACAAGTCATGTTTTGTGACATCTCCTTTTCTTCATACGAATGTACACATTGGCTTGTGGCTTTAACAAATAATCCCGGTAGTCACGTTTTGAGACCCTTATTTCTGTAACCCGTAAACAGTCACATTAATATACATACATGGTACTCCCCATGGTTGGGAAAAATCAAATTTTTGTTTTATGACCCAAATACCCCAAAATAACAAAAGAAAACAAGAAATGCAAGTAAAAGTGGCAACTTGCACGGCATTTAAATTCTGGACTGGTGTAGTATTGTCAAGTCTACTGGCTCCCAGTGCTGTCACAGTAGTTCCGGTTGGGCTTGCAGTCATGTATATAAGGTGATATCTCTGTTAGCCGGAACAATTGGTGCAGAGCACTTCCGGGAAAGAGATTTCAGGGTAACGAGACGACTCTCTCGAAGTTGGAAAAAATCCCGCATATCTGGAATTTTCTGGGTAACGGAAAAATTTTATCAGAAGTTTCAGAAATTGCTCATTACATCATTTCTCGAACCTGGAAAAATATCCCTCATCCCCAAAATTTTCCGGGTAATGGAAAAATTTTCTCTGAATTTCCAGAAAATCTGCCTGATTTTCATCTCTCAAACCCGGAAAAAACTCCCCCATATATATACTGTATATATATATATATATATATATATATATATATATATATATATATATATATATATATATATATATATATATATATATATATATATATATATATATATATATATATATATGTATGTATGTATGTATGTATGTATGTATGTATGTATGTATGTATGTATGTATGTATGTATGTATGTATGTATGTATGTATGTATGTATGTATGTATGTATGTATGTATGTATGTATGTATGTATGTATGTATGCATGCATGCATGCATGCATGCATGCATATATATTTTGACTACAAGGTACGTATTGTCGGAAAAAGTGGAGTTTGGGGAGTCGGCCCAGTCTCTATTTCAATTAATCCCATATGCTCTGTTATTTCATTTACGCGTTTCTCGTTTTACGCGGGCCTCCACGGGTTCAATTGACCGCGTAAATGAAGACCCAACTGTCCTGTATATTGAAACCTATGGCCGGCTTGCATGTGGAGATGGGCATTTCAATTATCAATCCACTTTTTTGTTTTGTTATTGCAGTTGAGTGCATTGGTGTAGATCCTTTTATATGTTCAAGAAGTTTGTTTGTCCTTCAAAAATTTTCCGATATTTGACCGACTGTAGCCCAACGCTTTACCAATGACTGAGGGTTTCACCTTATTCAGAACATTTAATTACATCAACTGTCACTTCCATTGTAATTGTTTTCTTTTTCTTGAATGCATTACTATCACTTGCATCAGGTTTGTGTTTGGGAGCCATGATGAGGACAGAAAAATAGTTAATAAGCAAAAAAGAACAGATTGTAAATGATCACACACATCACTGAGGTGAGGGTAAGGCATACTGATACTCCCTCAAGGCTGGGTGATGCATTCTCCCCAGTTGCAGCTCTGCCTCGCCGCTGCACCATACAGACTAGTTCTCTTACGTTAATATACTACAAATCAGTTGTACCTATGTCGGATTCTTAATATAATTGACCTTATGGGATCTTGTTCGTATTGGTGGGTGTTCGTAACCCATGGACCTCATGTATAGTGATACTGTCCATAAAAAATGAAAAAAAAATAGAACTTTTCCCTCTTGTTGGATTGGGTCTGGCTGTATTTTACCTAAGCTTAATAATGATGTAAGTAGACCAGATTATACTCATAAACTGTGAATATTCAGATATTACAAAACTTATAATTTTGTTTGCTTTTATATCATCAATCAGGATATGCCCGCAAATGCAAAAGCTGTAACACGACCCACTACCCAAGTTCCATTCCAGTGGGCATCGTCCTTGTTACAGACCCCAGTCATGAAAGCATTGTTCTTGTGCGTCAACCGCGCCACCCTCCGGGCATGTATTCCTGTATTGCAGGCTTCTCAGAAGTTGGTATGTCTGCTCTGTCTTATTATTTCTATACTGTATACTGTACAGGTATTTATATTTTTCAGTTTTAACTTGCATTTATCAACTTGTACAGAAATTTTATTACCGGGCAATTCATTAAAATGGAGGCATTTGCTATTCAGTATATACTGTATATATATATATATATATATATATATATATATATATATATATATATATATATATATATATATATATATATATATATATATATATATATATATATATATATATATATATATATATAGTATATATATATATATATATATATATTTTTTTTTTATAGAGTACAGTATTCTCTGTATACATTGTGATAGCTCATGTTCTGCTGCACAGTGAAACTAATTTTTAATCTTTTTTTCTGGTCATGAGAAGTGTGCAGTTTAAAGTTTTTAATTCACAATACAGTGGGGTATGCTATAACGAACGTAATTGGTTCCAGAACCTCGTTCGTTATAGCATTCGTTCGTTATAGGATTAATCCGTTCCAGGCCCCCAAATACAACCACTTAACACTGAAAAAATTCTGTGGAAAATGTAAAAAATACGGTACTTTATCTTACCTTAGTGTTATTCAGCATGCAGGTACCCCTAAACACTGGCACATCACTATCACTTCCACTGGGAGTCTTGGCTTTAAGGTCCTCAAACAATTGTCTGGCCTTCTCACAAATTATAGCTTCACTAATGTTACCACCTGCCATTTCTTTCTCCTTTATCCACACTAAGAGTAAATTTTCCATCTCTTCAATCACATTACACCTTGCTTTGCTAAGTCTAAAGATTCCCTTAGCCACTTGCACTGTTTTTAACTCCCCTTTATTCTTCAAAATCATACATATAGTCGATTTAGCCATCCCATACTCTTCACTAAGTTTCGCAATGCTTCTTCCATTCTCACGTTTCTTTATAATTTCTTTCTTAGTTTCAAGGGTTATTAGCTTTCTCACTCGCTTTGGACGATTCATTGTTACAATTGTATACTTGTACAACAAAATAGTTATACAAATAATGCGAATTTCCACATTAAAAGACGAAATTTCAACAATAACAGTGGTGCACTGGCTACACAATGAGAAAAAGATGGCGCCTGACGCTCTTGTTGTGGGTCGCGGTACAACAATATTCATGCGCCAGGCGAAATAGTCCCGTATTCATCCGCGTTCGTTGTAGGAGTTGCGTTCGTTATAGCATTCTCAATTTTATAGGTAAAACCGTTCGTTTTAGGAATACAGTGGGGTATGCTATAACGAATGGATCCTACTACGAATATTCCTATAACGAACGGTTTTACCTATAAAATTGAGAATGCTATAACGAACGAAACTCCTACAACGAACATTATTTAATTTTTTTTTTTCTAATTTATTGTTTTTTTATTACAAATATTAATGATATTCTTTATTTCAGGGGTTTAGATGCATATTTATGCACTTTTTTACAATTTTTAAAATTTTATATTATATTTTTCAGTGTTAAGTGGTTGTATTTGGGGGCCTGGAACGGATTAATCCTATAACGAACGAATGCTATAAGGAACAAGGTTCTAGAACCAATTAGATTCGTTATAGCATACCCCACTGTATTCGTAGTAGGATCCGTTTGTTATAGCATACCCCACTGTACTTGTTTATCCCACATGTGTGACCAGATCCTATATGAACTTTTTTCATGTTTGGAACGACATCAGTATTTTTGATGTGGTCACAGTTGGTTGTAAATTAATTATAATTCATTTCTCACTTTGCAGCACATGACATAGCTTTTGATGGTTGGTTTACAACCACTGTTGTACCAAATAGTAAAAAAATATTATTTTTTAAGCAAATATGAAAGGTTATGGTAGATATTTTTACACCATTTTGAGAAGGATTGATGGCTATATGTAGGAGTCACTCATTGAAATGTATTTCCATGGATCTTATCTTGAAGGAGTGAAACTGGACTTATCAGATTTGAAACATTTTATATATTTACAGTACAGTATAAAGTGATTCATAGGCTTCTGTAAATTATATATGAAGCACTTGGTGACCTGTACTCTATGTTCTATCCAATGTGTAAAAATACCCAACAGGTGCTTTTACTTATATTCATCACCAGTGTTACATGATTACTAAGCCCCCTGCAAGGTCATTGACCCCCCCCTGCACTGGACATATGCACCCTCTCATGCAAGCAAAAAAAAATAAAAAATCTTACAAACTGGTCAGGCATGATATACCAGTAAACAGTAAAGAAATACATGTACTTGCTACAGGTTGGCATCGTAGAGTCTAGGAAGAGTGTTGGTGCTGAGTCAAGAAAGTGTATGAAGTACTGTATGTGCGGCAGTGGGGTGAAGTAGGCAGTACAAGGTACACAAAACTAATTTTTATGCAATATGAGGTGCACAACACTCATTTTTATTATGTTATCACTATTTACACCATTCACAATTATTATTACTGTCTCCAGAACCCTGCTATGCTTGTGCTTAGAAGGGTAGAAACACGTGGCGAGGTGCATCTTGCCACTCCTGTAGGGTGTGACATCTTTCCTTAACAGGCTACAAAACTGGCTTGTACAGGCTCAAGACTTGTGATACATTTTTCTTACTTAGTTGTTTCTCCTTTTTTATTAATTTTTTGTCAATTCATTTCCTTTTGTTGTATGGGTAATGTTTTACAGGTGAGACTTTAGAAGAGACTGTACATAGGGAAGTAGCAGAAGAAGTGGGAATAGAAGTTTCGTCTGTGAGATATGTTGCTTCCCAGCATTGGCCCTTCCCAGGCTCCCTGATGGCAGGATGCTTTGCCGTTGCAGAAAAACAACAGGTAATGATTTTAAGTCTAAAGCCAGACAACTCTTGCAACTCAGGCTACTTACTGGGGAACTCAGATATACCTTCAGTTACCTATTTATAAAACCCAGATTGATTTATTAACCACTTGGGTATACCAGTAACTCCTCCCTCCATCCCTATCACTTTTTCCCCTTATTTTATAGGGCGAATTACTACAATAGTTGCCCTCTGTGAGTTAGAAGATCTAAAGTGAGCTAAAACTACCCTGTCACCACAGTCCAACTCAAGTCTTACCTCTGCTAGTTTGAATCCAAGACTAAGACTAATATGTAACTGATATTTCCTAACTGGGTGTTAATGAGAATGGAGCTTCAGCCTGACTTACCCTTGGTTACTTCCACAAAAAGCTTTGAGACACTTAAAAGTACTATCGCATGGAAAGATATTGGAAGCATTGTGTTGTCTCATGGTAGACCCTGCTGCCATATGGCATCACTCCTCTTTCTCAGGAATTTGCCACTAGTCAAATAAGAGGTGAGGCTTGGTTGTGAAAGCATAAAGAAACAAGCCCCTAATATTGTATTCACCAGGTTCTTAATAAGCCTCAGATTAACTCATATTGAGAGGAATCATACACTGCATAATTTCTTAATATGATAAAATTTGGGAACATATTTACAGAGACAAGTAAAAGAACAAATTAGGTACAAACAACCACAGCCAAAATTAACCTAATCCCTAACCTCAGCCTTTCCATACACTTGAACAGTACAAAAGAATAAACCACTTATCTCCGTATACTGTACATATAACCTGAGTCCAGACCAACTGTACCAGACTTGGACCACACTCTATCACCAGCCAGGTTCGTCTGCCTCTCTGCACTCACTGGCTGAGCTGGTGGACCAGTGACCCAAAAAGTGCTGATACCATGTTGCCAATTATCGAACTACTCTCCCAAACTAATGCACAACATAGATTGATTTACTTAATATATACATATCATAAATTAATATACACACTATGTAACATTAAACAATTATTACTCACAGGGAAAAAGTACTGAACGAGTAGGGTAATTACCTCTGAGCAAATAAGGTAATTATTGTACCTCTAAATTCAATGTATATTTGGTGCCACAAAAGTAACAGCATTAAAAAAATTGTGACCAAGTCCACTGTTGCTAATCTGACTGACTTTCTGTCTCATTTACACACAGTTGCAGGGTCTCACTTGTTTCTCTTACTATAACAACACAAAGTACAGTATATATAATTTCTCACTCTTGATTTGTTTAACTTTTCTGTTTCTGTATTTATTTATTTTATTTATTTTTTCCTCCCAGGCCCCGATGTGGGTTGGTAACCTGTGCTCGGGTGGGCTAATCCTTGTAAAAAAAAAAAAAAAATAGGTTATACCTCTGTTGTTGATGGTACACTGTTTGATATAAATGAAATTTTAATTTAGATTACTGTACAGTTATCAGTAATGTAGGTTAATGTACATTTTATTCTGGCCTTACTGGGTGTAAGTTGTAGTTGCACTGGGGTGGCTAGCCTTGGCCTAGGGTATTTGACTTTCAATCCACACACACATACCACTGTACACTTTATTTGTGGTCTTCAGTTTGCTAGGTCTGGGACTTGCCCCAGTAGTGTTGACCAAGTGTGAATTGTGTCATGGGTATAGGATAAGACCAGCATTCATAAACATTGAATTAGTCAGGTTTCAGTGTGCAGGGGGTCCCTGACTTATGAACGCCTGTCGATACGAACAGGATTAAACTTGAGATTTACAGTACTGTATTTTATTTACCTGATGACTAATTTTTTACTTTCCTTTGCTGTATTTTGTCATTCTATTTCTTCTTTTCTCTTAAATTAAGTTAATTAAGTGATTTTAGATATGTATGAAGACTTAAGCTATGATATAGTGGAATTTTAAACATTGTTCCGTAAGTAAGGTATGCACATAGCATGTGTTCCAACTTTCGTACAAATCCAACTTAAGGATGTCCTCAGGTAATGGAACCCATTCCTAACCTGGGGACCCCCTGTATTTGCTTTACCTATTCTAACTTTTAAGTAATTTTGAACTGCTTCATTTTCACTTTAATTTTTCAGCTTACCAAAGATAACAATGAACTGCAAGATGCGCGTTGGTTCTCTCGAGATGAAGTAAGCACAGCTCTAGATAAAATCAATGCAAACCCTCACTTGAGACTGCGTGGAAATCCCTCTGGTGAACTGTTTATTCCTCCACCAGGAGCTATAGCATATCATCTCATAGCTCATTGGATTAAGGGCACCCCTGTTCAAGAGATATACCAACATATTTACTAATATTCTTCAGCAACTAAATTGGAGGTTAGTGAAGTGTTCAATTTTTAGTATTTGGTAATAAATTCCAGATTTAAAACATGTGCAGGTACCTTGTTTGATGTGATATACCATATTTGTTGTAAGATTTAGATTAAAGTGCAGTTGGCTTTTTTTAAGTTACAGATACAGAGAAATACTTTACTCACAGTACAGAGTCAATACTCCCGCAACACAGTTTTTTCATGTATGTTTTTACCCTTAAGATGTTTTGATTTTGCTGCCATCTCCCCCTACCCATTGGTCAATATGGGGGTCTTGTCCTTACACAGTTTCAGTTTTAACCCTGAAACCTGCACCTTATATATTTAATTTATATACGTAGTCTCAGATGGGGCAAAGTCAAGATAATTTTTCTCTCACTCTCTTAGGATAAGATGGAAAAATACGTATCGGTACTGCACTTAACAAATTTAGGAACAAAAAAATTTATGATTTTCACTTTCCTTGACAAAAGCATTAAAAGTTGCATGAAATGACATAACTTGCATTACTTTCTCTTGTATGAGTTAGCAGTGGAACTGCCCCACAATACAATGTTTTCCATAACTGCTCCTCATATATCATAAATGGTCTCACTATTTTACTAGTTTTACCTTTCACTAAACTTACTTTCAGTACTACTGTGTTTGGAATTGAATCATTTTAAAAATGGCTCCTTCTTTGTCCTCTCACTTCAATAGACAAAAGAATATTACTGATGTATGAGTTGTTAAGATATATAGACCACTGACCTTTAACTCTTACATCTTCAAAAGCCTCGCTGACCAAATATCTATAAGAGACCGACCTAAGTTCTAGAGAAATTGGAAGAAAGTTGAAGGAAGACTGAAAGATGGCACAATACTTAATACTGTACAAATTATTGTATGAACTGCAGAAGTAGAGGACATAAATCATTTTATACTTTACTACCACATTAACAAAAGGTGGAGTGGGGAAGTGGAGTTGCAACATTTTTACGTAGAAGAAAAAGAAAGTTTAAATATTTTCCAAATAGATCACCTCGTTCATTCGCTGACATCAAGCCGTTACAGTATCAGCTGACAGCAAATGTAAATTCCCCCGCCTCTCAATAGAGGCAGCATGGGCCTCTAGTCCAAGGTTAGCCACCTGTGAAGTCAGGCAAAATGTGTTGTCAAGTAAAGTGTGAGAGAGTCAAGTGCAAGAAAATAAAATTGTATAGCTTAGTAATGGAGCAAAAGAGCTAAAGCTATATATTTTGTTTTATTTATTTAAGGTTACGTGTGAGCTGCATAGATGCGGGCCGACTGCAGCTGTGTAGCTGAAGGGCAAGTGTGAGCTGTTTAGATGTGGGCCAAGTGCAAGATTCGTGGTGGTGTGAGACAAGTCAGTCTGGCTGGGTCATGTCAGGTGAATTAAATGTTATTCACATTAATTCTTCGTCATACAATCCAAGCTGTCATGCATATAAGTGAAAGTACTGTAGTTGGTCCTGGAGACAAAGCTCAAGGGTCCAGGAGACTAAACCCTAATTTTCTCCTGAGTTTGTAGTCTCACACGATACAATTTTAGTTTACACAAGACTTTTAAGGAACCTTACCCCAGTGATAGCTATAGGAGAATCGACTGTATTTTACTTACGTCATCACTTATCAGACCAATTGCCCGTATGGCCAGTAGGCCATACGGGCAATTGGTCTGTTCTTTGTTAGGACCTTCATTGTCCAGTGTTAAAACAGTAGGAAACTGGAATACAGTATACAGTACTGTACCCAGAGAAAACCTGCGATGTTTGGTAGGGTCTCAACGAATAACACTTTTCTCACATCTGACCCTGGCTGGGATTAAACCCAGGAGACAAGTGTGAGAGATACAAGCATTAGTGCTGTGCCACCAACCTTATATCGATATGAAGTTTATTTGTTACATTGAATTTCTAATGTTATCAGGTGACTTGTAAAGTTTATACTTTTAACCAACTCTTTAAAACTGTTGGTTCTTAAGCTGTAAATGAATGTCTTTTGTGTGGTGCCTCGAGTCCCATATACTGTAGCTCGACTTAGGGAGGTCTTATTGTATTAGTTCATGGTTTTCAGTAAGTCTCAGGGAAAAACTGGTACCTTAAGACCTCAGAAATCTACAAAATTACCATAATTTATGGCATATAAGACACACTTTAGTCTGAAAAAATGACTAAGAATTAGCTTGCATCTTGTATGTGAAGTTGCAGTCTCCCATAGGCTAATGAATCCCCCAGTTGCTGTCTCCAGTAACCTAAATTCCACCTAGCCCAACTCCAAAATTAAAATATGTTGATGCTTACTTAAAAACAATGTTATTACTTTTAACTAATTAAAAAAAGAAATTATTGTAAATATAAAAGCTGCATTTATAACTACTGATGATAACCCGAGAAGATTAGCATCCATACGGCAGGCATCCAACTCTCCAGAGCTAAGCAGCAACTGTTTCTCAACTCTTACAAGTGTTACAATCTATTTTATGTCATACCTGCAACATTTATCTTTAATTTTGCAAATACAGTACCTGAGATAAATGAAGATTTACAGATAATTTTCTTTTCACATTTGCATCTGTTAACATAACTGGTGGCATTATTTATTGCCAAGTTAGACTCATCACTGTAGCTACTAGGCCAAGCTGTGAGGTGATATGGTAATTTTCAACTTGCAATTTTGGGTAGTTATGCGTAACTTTCTTATGAGTTAGCAGCCGAGCCGGGGAGTCGGCAGAGTTAGCATCCCAAGTGTCTATGCAAATGATGGTTATGTTAAAATTTCATTTGGCTTTTCCTTAATGGTGTTAGCTGCATTTTTTTATCTAGATTGTATACAAGTATTTGAAGTATTGTAGCACAATTGTTAAATAACATAAGATAGGTAGGTGATATGGTTTATGAATGCTGGGAGTTGTGAGTGTGCTTCAACCATTTGACTTACATGTACAGTAGGGTTGGGATATATTGCGAGTTTATATAACGATTTTTTTTATATCTCGGCTACCAAAATGATCAAAATTTTCCCATATATTGTATAGCGATAAATTATTTATTTCGTGAGGGAAATCGGACAGGAAATATTTCAAGTGTACCGCCATGGCAAACAAATGTGTTATTTGCTCACCAGAGGCATCACTGTGGCTGCTCACTCACTCATTCAGACTCGCCCGCTCAGTCTGTCTGAGTGAGTTATGAGAAAGCAGCCGACTCTGCTGCAGATTACTACTTCTAAGGTGACTGTAAATGGGTTGCTGGTGACGTGAAAAGTGAAGTGAGGATAATGGAAAGCTTAATGGAAAAGATATAATACTGTAACTAATATTTTTGGTGTTTGTTTATGTAGGTGTGGGATTGTCAAGTGAGGGTGGCAGAGTGGCGTCTGGCGTTCCCAGGATGGTGTGTCAGCTGCCGAGTCTGGTGTTCCTTGATATTGATATTGAAATAGCCTGTTGTTCCCGTGTCTAGTGTTCATTGGTGCTTTAGTTAGTAAGAAAATGAACTCGTTAAGTCAAGTTTAGTCACTTTTATTGTCCTCCAGAACCTAACCCTATTTTCCCCATTGATTACATGTAATTATATATAGCGATTTAGTATACTGTATAGTGAACATCCTTGGACCCTATCTCGCTATACATCCCAACCCTACTGTAATAATATTTAATAAATTTTTTGGGCTAATTTTACAGTATTTTATACAGTATTATTTTGTATTTGTAACACAAACTAGTCACTGTAATAACATTCCCCTAGTCCTCACCCTACCACTCCAGGTCAAGCTGTGACCTGTTATGGTTTTTTCAACTCAAAATTTTGGGTAGATACACATATTTTTTTATTTTTTTATTTTGTACTATGTTACATGCACACTCCAGCTTACATACAGATTGTGCAAAGATAAAATATTGTAGTACTTATTATAAGGTCAAAAACATAAAAGGAATAAACAATGTTTGTGGGTTAAGAGTTAATGCTACATAGGCGAGGGGGGGGGGGCGTCTCAGCTGTTCTGAGCTTTATCCTGTGTGCAGTGAAATGATTGACAAATTTTGTCATCTGGCAGCCAGATGGCAATGCAGTATTTTTTTAATATATTTATTGGTGTTATTTTTATTAATTCCTCACGTTTTCTGGTATACAGTAAACCCTTGAAGATCCTGACCCGGGAAATCCGGATTTTGGAAGATCCTGCCCAAAAATTTTTTGGGGTTCTGGGCTAAGAAACCTCCTAGAAGTTTCCCCAAGAAACATTTCTAAACCAGAGCAAAGAACATTTTAGGCCTGTGGGCGCTGCTTGACCCATCAATTGCTTGAACACAGGTGCCCAAGGAGGTGTGAAACATAAACAGAGTAGACAATTGTTGTTTGTGGGAATATTATTTCATTCGCTCTAGTAATGATACAGTGTTTCTTATGTTATCATAGGTAAATACATGGTTTATATACAGCAATTTGTTTATCACTACATTAGTACTGTATTTTTGGTGTTTTTTATATCATTTATTATTCGCATGGAAAATCCGAACAATCAACTTTTCCGGACAGGTGGTCTCCCGTTTAGCTCGGATCTTCGAGGGTTCGCTGTACGTATATTATTTTAAGAAAACTAGGGCTACAGGAGGAGAATATACACAAGTTATATTCCTAAATATTCCCTAATGAAATGGGAGGTGTGTCTTATATGCCATAAAATGAAGTAGATTAATAAGGAAATTTAAATATAATAAACTTATTTCTGCTAGGGCACACATAAGAAATACATCAATAAGAAAGAATCAAATATCAGAATGGTCCAGGTGATAATGGAAGTTAAGTGAAACTTTGATTTTATATACTGTTAAACAGTGGAGTAAATATCAAGAAAATTGTGCTCTGTAATATTTTTGCATTTTTTATATTAAAATTTTAGTCACTTTAAAATTTAGTTAACATATTGATAATACATGCAGTACAGGGAACTAGTATTTTGTGTGCCCATCAGTTACTTGACTCACCCACCAGGCACCAGTCTTCCTTTTGTGTTTAAAGGACTCGGGATATAACGTTGATCTACATTTTCTTGCGGCTTGTGCTGATTTCTCGTGCATCACAGTGATTTAATTTAATCATAACAGTGTTGTGAGTTTTGAACCATGCTTCGTGATGCTGGCGAGGGTGGAAGGGTGAGAGAATGTAACATGTGCAAGGAGAATGCATCATATGGTAGGTAATACAGGTTGACTATCAAAAATCCGGCAACCTCGGGACCTGAGGAGTGCCGGATTTTCGAAAATGCCGGAAAACTGTTGGTTATATTTGCTGTATAAGTTTAACAGAAAATGACTACCTGTACAGTCCTTTAAACAAAGAAAATTAAACACTTAAGTTAGGATAATATAATTGACATTGCTGGATTCCTTGTAAGACCAGGAATATTTTGAATATAAATGTCATATATTTTGCACAAAAGATAACATATTTACTCAGAGTAAACGTTATATCTAAAATTTGTATGTCTAATGCAAAATCTATGATGTTATATTCAAAATGATCATCAAATTGTAAGAATTCCAGCAATGTAAATTATATTCTGGCCGGGTAATTTGTATGAATTTTATGAGCTAAAACATATATCTTCATTAAATAAACAAAGAAGTATTTGAAAATGCGCTCTGAAATTCATGCCGGAAAACTGAAGGTTCCGGTTTATCGATTGCCGATTTTTGATGGTCAACCTGTAGTATGGTGCCTCCTGCTGTCACTCCCTGTGCCTCTGGCCCTTCTAGCTTAAGTGATAGTCTGTCTGGCCCTTCAACAAGCAGTCCTAGAGCTATGACTCAATATGTATAATTATATTTTGCGCCCGTAGGGAAAAAAATTTATAATCTGTACTCGTCCTGGGTGCGCTCATCAAAAAGCAAAATTTACACCTCTGTTACCCAACGAAATATAATTTTTTTCACAACTTTTCTTCTATAACTGTTTTGCTAAATATGTACACTTTGTAACGGAATAAGGTTCTTAGTGCAATTACTTGAAATAACGAAGGTATAAAGTGATGTATAAAAATTTTCATTAAACGTAAAAAAAAATTTGAGTTATACTCGCGCTTATGTATGGAAATAATTATTTTACCATGGTTACTCATATAAAACTGTTTGTAGATATTTATATACAATGCTAATGCAACAAATCCCAACTTTTTATCTCAAATAACAAGCTTACTATGACTTATTACATACACTTATCTCTTGTGTGGTGCAGTCAAGTGTGGTGAGGTGAGTAACAGGCCAGAGTACCTACCCAAACCCAAGAGTGTTAAGACTACTCATATTAAACATATTTTGCTTACTCTAACAGAGCTAGGCAGTGATTAGTGAACATATACTCATACATTTGGACAGTGACTTAAATTTCACTTGCCCACCAAATATGTACTGCAGATTTAACTTTCTACGTACTGTATTTAATTTTACTGGCTACAAAAGAGGCTGATAGAATGCAAATAAAAGAATGTGATTTATTGACATATTATGTAATCAAGTTTTTTGTGAAGTAAATGTATACAATAAATTGATGAAACCCAACAAACATTGTACAGTACATTATTTGAGACTCAGTTGCCAGGTCAGAAGAGTACAGTACAATATAGAGTTTCAAATGCTAAAACTTTACTTCCATTTGTCCTGACAATCAGACAAATGTTATACTGTATGTCAGACCCTGATTGATATAATATAATATAATATGATATAATATAATATAATATAATATAATATAATATATTCTAATATTAATACAGTGGGGTATGCTATAACGAATCTAATTGGTTCTTGAACCTTGCTCATTATAGCATTCGTTCGTTGTAGGATTAATCCGTTCCAGGCCCCCAAATACAACCCACTTAACACTGAAAAATATAATATAAAATTGTAAAAATTGTAAAAAAGTGCATAAATATGCATCTAAACTCCTGAAATAAAGAATATCATTAATACTTGTAATAAAAAAAAAAATGTTCGTTGTAGGAGTTTCGTTCATTATAGCATTCTCTATTTTATAGGTAAAACCGTTCGTTATAGGAATATTCGTAGTAGAATCCGTTCGTTATAGCATACCCCACTGTATGACATAATATAATATAATAGTGATTTTCTATATAACTTATCAGCTCATCTGTTATAAGAAGCATTTAGCATTTTTCTTGTGGCAAACCTCAGGACATTAAAATTTTAGACTTTTCATCTTGATTTTATTTCACACCTCTTAAAATGGTATTCAGCTTTTGTTACTACTGTAGTGTTGCAGTGAATCAACTAAAAGAGTGAAGACAAGTACACGCAGAGAAATAGTGGTTTTTATTCTGGTGTTTATCGCTTTTTCAAATAGCTTGCTGATTACTTTCAATACAGTAGTGAGATTGGTCTGTAGTTAATTAATTGAGAGGGGTCATTCATTGTCTGGTTTGTGTATAAATATAATTTTTGCACTTTTGAAAGTATCGATGATATATCCAGTTGTTAATGCTGAATTTAATGTTTCACAGATACCTTGAATGCAATTGTCGGGCAAGTTTAATATCATGTGTCATGATATTTTTTGTAAAACCCGGTGCTTTTTCTTTGGTGTGTCTGATGTATTGTAGCAGTTCTCCTTCTGTAACTGTTCTTATGTTGAGTCGAGACTTATCCACCACATGATATGGATTTGTTCTATCTACCATTTCAGTCATCTCTCTATGTACAGTTTCGTTCAGAAGTTCGTGGTACACTGGCAGTGAAGTGTGCATAGCCTGTTGTACCCTTCCTGGACGACAGGTCACTGCGCCGAACCTCTTACCAACACACACAGTGGAACTGGCAATGGAGCAGTTTGATTCAAACGAATATTCATCAAAAGGAGATGGGAAGGATATTGGTATGAATATCCTGCTGACGAGAGAAGAAAACTGTAGTGATAGGAGTAGCCATTCAAATATCAGAATACAATAGGGAAATTGGCTTCGAATGAACACCATAAGAAGTAGGTGAACAGAGCTCATATATCAAGAGTCTTCAATGTATTCATAACTTGAAGTTTTTCGTATAGTGTAATACTTTAGCTATATATACAGTATACTGTGTGTATGTGTGTGTGTGTGTGTGCGCACGTGCGTGCATGCGTGCATATGTGTTACGCTAAATAGTGATAATTGCCGATTAAGTGTTAAATAACATTACTTCATATGTATCACATCTTCGACACACACACACACACACTGAAACATATCGACACAAGTGGGCTGTGTGTGTGCTTCACCGAGGTGTTGTTGTTATGTGACACTGATGAGAGTGATCAGAAGCTCCACGAAACCAACTTGAATCGGAGAGACGTGAAGTTGGTGCTCAGAGGTCCCATTATCACTCTGTGATAATGGTCTCTCCATACGGGGTATCTCACCTGAAGTTGGCCTGTCCCCCACAACTGTGATGAAGTAGATAAGAAGACGGGAGGAGAGCGGTAACCTTAACAACTTAGGTAAGTTATAACTGTCTCAGCAAAGGAGCGGACCATAGCAGCTTTGATGAATGAAGGATAGAGAATGAGAGACCTGCATCATATTCAAAGTTTAGGTAAAGATTCGGAAAAGCTCAACCACGGAACTTCATATAAATATTTAAATAGGTTGATAGAGGAATCTTAACCTAAGTTTATTAACAGCCAAATTCAGCATCACTATTTGTGGGTAGTTATGTATGGGTAAGGCTAAATTGTGATACTGAAATTGGTGATCTATCTGGAAATAATAATCACTGCTGTAACCTTTTCATATTGAAACTACAGTATTGTGTAGATTATGGAGTAGAGTTCTGGAAGCTGGCATATCATTTTTAACCATGTTTATATTTGAAATGTAAATTTACAGTTTAGGTAACATAGAGTGTCAAAATAATTCTGAATATGGTTGTGTTCTATTCTGTTGGTAGGGAGAGCAGGATCCTCTCAGAGGACCACCACTCCAGATGACGCTGCAATTATCGCGGCGGCCGAGGCAACCAACGCGGTGGCCATACGAAACAGCCTGCATTTGGACGTCTCCACGTTGACTGTCAGGCGAAGATTGCACGAAGGGAGAATACATCACAGAACTCCCACGAGGAAGGACCACCTGACAGAAGAGCTCCGAGCATGGAGGTTAGCCTTCGCTCGACTCCATGCTGAGCAAAACATGGACTTCTGGGCTAGAATGGTGTTCACTGATGAGAAGTGTGTTTCTTCTACCTCTCATGGCAAGGTTCATTGCTGGAGGAAAAACAACACCAGGTATGAAGTTCATGATCAGTTACTGTTCAAAGAAATAGAACGTCGTGGTTCTAGGAGTAAGAAATCCTCACGAAAAATCAAACGTGAAAGAGTTAGGACAGTGTTAATAAACCATAAATATAATAAACCTTGAATAACCGTGTGTCTTCTATGCCAGATAGATTGCATGCAGTTATTGAGAAAGGGGGAGGCTGGACGAGGTATTAAATGATAAAGTGAAAAATGGATTTAAATTGTCCTAAAATGTGTGTTTTATTATTGTTAAATAAACACTAGTAACTAATAATACAGAGGCTACAATTTATATACTGTATACGCATTTATGTAGAATAAGAAAATATATGTTGATAATTTATTACGCTATTGTGGGTGGTTGTTGGGGGTAACATTGTTCAAGGCTTATTGTGAGTTTCATGGCGGACACCAAGCCAAACTATCCCTCTTGTTTTGTCATTCCCACTATAAGAAATAATTAACGGATGATGATGATTATAATATATTAAAAAGATTTATTATATTAAAATATATACAGTATTCCATTATTTTTATTCAGTGTATATAATACCAATAAATTACTATTCTCCAGACACACAAATTAGATAGAGAATAGAAACGGACAGATAGATACTACAATATATGGAACAGCTTACATTTTTTACATTTGATACACAAATACGTTATAATACAAATACCTAGGCAATAGGCCTGTTCCAGCGCCATCTCGACCACCAACGAGTAACCTGACACTGAAACTGGTGAACGATGTTTTTCTGAAACTTTGTTTATAAAGTGTTTGTCTTATAGAGGTCGTGCACCACCATCCTCGGATTAACTTCATCATACCCATTACATCTTACATAGTGTACTTTGCCTGAGAAATTGATATGCCACAATTTTCCCCAGCAGTAATCGCATCTTGTTTCCCTTTCATATTAAGTCTCTTGTATTATCTGTTTGGTGTATCAGTGTTGGTTATAACAGTGATCACAAACGATAATGGGTCGTTTCACACCGCATGTGAAAGAAAAATTTATGTTGTTTGAGTTTAACTAAGTGTG